TTTCAGCACTTGTTGTTGCTGAAAAGTGTGCTCACACCACAAACCCTACTCCTACAACTACCTGAAATCTCACCACTATATGATCATATCTCTTCCTTCAAAATGCACAAAGAAACCAGCATAAACCCTAATTCTTACTGGCCGAAACCCTAGCAAATGGTCTGAAACACACCTTCTATTTAATCCATAACAGATATCATGCACTGTTCAGATGAAGTCCACACCCATGCGAGCAGGAGAGCAGTCCACACACAACAGCCACACACAGTTCGGCCCTCTATTCTTCCTCTACTAGGAGAGGGCGATCTCAGAAATCACAGCAACCGACCACATACGACCTGACTAGAGGCATAGAGACCCCCAAGGGAAGAGGGGGATCACTCCTTTTCAGCCCTTTCCCTTATCTCCAATCGAACACAGAAAAAAAGAAAACCCTAGATAGGGTGCGCAGAGAATGAACTCTAGGCAAGCAGAAATCTAGGCAGATTTAACCTAGCTCTGATACCATGATATAATTCAGGTCTGCCTTAGAGTTCAGCCTGACTGAGTTCAGTTATGTAGAAGAAGAAAGAGTGATAAAGAAAGAGAGAAGAGAGAATTCTGGTTCGAACTGAAATAGTCAACTTGACTTCTCCCAGTGGGCCAGTAAGTATTTATACTATTATTAAAACATAACTGAAAAGACCTATGTGCCCTTACTTAAGTTAAGAGCACATGTTTCAACACAACATTACAGATCAGAAACATCAATCAAGGTATAAAGACAGAAATACCCCTACGCTAACAAGTACCACCAGTTCTTGCTATGGAATAGGAAAAAAAACTATTCTAGTTTGTAGAAACAGGTACTCCCCACCACTGCTGAATGATGTTGCTTCCTCTCATTAGGGATGTCAAAGGATTGGGCTTAACCCACACCCAACCCAACCATTTCCCACCCAAACCTGTCCAGCCCTGTGAAAGGAGATGATGTTGGGGCACAAAGCAGGGCAAGATAATGAATGAAAAATATTTATAAAAATAAAAGGGAAGAAAACACTTGATATCTACATGAAAATATTTAAATGCTTATGGCACGACAATCTAAGAATTGCATAAATCAAGCCAAGCCAGAGCTGAAACTGTGATGAGTTGAAATTTCAGAACCCAACCCAACTCTAACATAATTAGACTCATAGGAAACCCATCCCAATAAGGGTGGGCCAGGTATCTTATTGGCTTCCCTAGATTCCCTCTCTCTTGCATCATGAAACATCTGAAGTAAAAACATATGGATACAGTTCAGGGATACAGATCAGAACGCTCAAATATATTATGTTGAAAATCAGTAAAAGCACTTATTCAAGATTTTGTTATAATATAAAAACTAACTTTACCAATTATATTGTTTAAGCCCTGTACAAGGAGATTTGAATAGGGTATTCAGAGTCCAACCAGGTATGACAATTGGAACAGACCAGACACCATAAATGGTTGCTAATAATATTGAAGTTAACAAGGAACAAATAGAACATTTGTTATCATTATTTTTCTGTTTATGAGTGTGTTTCTCAAACAGTAACAGAACATTACCGACTTGGTAATCCAGGATACATCGTACTCCCGCCACTTAGAACTATGTGCTGGTAGAGCTGTAACAATAAAACAAGTAGGAGTAAGATTAGTAGTGAGATAGAACATCAAAACCACAAAGATAATATCCACGGAAGAAGAAATATGATTTTGCCAATTTGTGCAAGAAAAAGCCAAAGCTTAGGTCCATATCTAGTGTTCCCCTCACAAGACCCCAGATAGCTGGGACCTGGGACCAACATTGGAATTGGATAATGGCCTTTTTCAGGACTTTCTCAAATTTCTAATTATCTATTTGATAGTTATGTTTTCAACTGGAAGTAAATTCTAAGTTCAACTATAACGAATCCCAAATACAAGTAAGAAGATGAATTGACATTCCAATAAGTGGCACACTTGAGAATATAGTCAGTAAACATGTGGATGGCATTATGTGAACAATAACACCGTTACTTCACATATCTAAAATATTGTCACCAACTTATGTTATAATACTATCTCTTGTACTCCACAAAGCACCAGTAGCTTTCACCGAGGAATATGTTTCAGTAATATTTCATGTCAGTACCCATGGAAATGGAAATACGTTATGAAAATATTAGGAAATTTATGGACATTTTAAACCATGCTCACCACAAGGACATCTTCATTGAGTCATCTATGTTGCTCCAAATTTTCATTGAGGAAATGAGTTGCAACTTGGGAAGGTCAGGTGAGGTTTAGAAACCTAGGTCCATACTAAGAGCTGGCCCAGCCAGTGGTAAAGCCCAAGCTGGCATCACAAGCCCAGCCTGAAATAAACACCAAGACAACATGGACCAGGTTTATGCCTAGGAAGACCTGGGCTGGTTTATTGGTGTTGATGGTCTTCTTGAAGTTCATTTCATAAAAATAAAATGGGGGGAAATCCATAGAAATATGATTGTATGCATAATACAATTGTACATCATAAATGTAGATGAATACACATCATAATAGTAATGGCTATAACGTGAAGGGTGTTTAAGTTGCCAAAAAAAGAAAGGTTGTTTATGTACACAATATACAATTGAATTAAAGCACATGATCTCTTTTAAAGCAGATAATTGTGTCCTTGGATACACTAATCGAGAAGTAGATCAAAAGAAATCAGTAGTAAACTCATAAGATAATCACTAACAATCTACTTACCATCATACGGTTATCAATATCCATTTCTTGAATGCAACGGAATACCATATCAGCCATTCCATCACCTTCAACATCTATGAGTTCCTAGAGAAAGACCAAAATAAGGTTAATTATGACACAATAACAATAGTTTACATTTACAGAAAAGGAAATCCAAAAATACTCCAAAGCCAACAGTGTTCCAGGTCTTGTGATTGCTCCATCAAGACTCATTTTGCTTTCTCAACTTAAGATTTACAAAGAAAATCCTATCATTCATGAACATTTGAAGAACATCATAAATTCAGTGATTTCTCTTATTATCATTAAGGGTAGACTATTACTCTCCAGGCACCAAGCTAGCAGCATAAAGTATGGTTTCTTTAAACAATAGAATTAGAGAGATGGTTCTATAAATAAAGCAAATTGGCCATATAATGAAGTGGGGCATGTAACTGCAGTATATATTCATTGTGAAGAACAAGCAGTTCTAATCAACAATAAATACTTGGCACAAAGAACTTTTGTCAAGCACAAGAAATATATAGAACGGATAAACCTTGAGAAAACTGACAGACTTACTGGAGTGAAAAGAGCCTCGGGAGCCTGGAACCGTTCAGTGCCAACTTTAATAACTCTTCCATCTGGCAGCTGATCAAGTTGATGTTTAACAATGAGAAATACAAAACCAGATATAGAAATTCATAATTTGAGCAGATAACAACTCCACTAGTGGCATTTTGCCTTTGCTCCTTCCCCAAGCCAGAATGGAAGGTCATAGGCTGTATCGGTTTATTTAACTTTGCATAAATACTTGATCATTTTTTCAGGTTAAGCCATAGGTGAACTCAATGGAAGAAACATAATGCAATGGCAACTTCTTGACTTGATTTCCAAATCAGATGAATGTAGTACAAAACTGAGCTTTAGTCATGGTGAGGTTGTTAATTTATAAAATTAAAAACTTGCACAAGTTTTGCCTCTAACCATGTAAGATTTAGGATTCTTGCTCTTCTCTACCTTCCTAGTCTCGGAAAAGGCTCCCTCTCGCCTTTTTTTCTATGGTGAATTGGCAACTATTCCAGGGGCTTTAATTCTGGAGATCATTAAGAACTGAAGGAATTTTGGAACAGGACTGCATATGTGCAGTTTTTTTATCAGTAAAAAGTAATTTTGTTAAGGAAAACTTAAAGACTACAACCACTCCAAACAACAAGAGATCACAGAATTGCCCAAAAACTGCTGTCTTAAAGCCCCTTGTGTTTAGCTAAAGTGTCTGCCAAACCATTTGCTGTTCTTCTCACCCATTTAAAAGAGAAATTTAACTCCCTTATTAAGCTTACGATCTCCCTAAATTTGTATCAGAAAACCCAAGGGATTTGGGTATTGCTTCTTGTCCAAGAAATGGCCACCTGAGAGTCCCCTTCCACCTCTAGATTGTGGAAACCTCACTGTTTAGCAAATTTTAACCCCTGCAGTAAGCTGACCAGTTCTGCTGTCAGTGCATCACCATGCTCCAAGGGTCCTGAATACAAAGCTACCACTCTTCCTTCTGGATCTCTGAAGACACCCCCTACCCCTGCCAGCCCCATATTAATTATAAAATTTCCATCAAAGTTCAGCTTTAGGGATTTAGATGTCGGAGATTTCCATTCCATAAATAGACTTTCCTTTTCTTGAGCCAAGAGTGCCACCTCTTTCAACTTCTCAAAATATCATTCAAAGAGAAATTTTGGAAAGTATCCAAAGTTTTCACCCAGTGTGCAGCCTTTAGTTTTACTAAATCTATGATTTCCGCCTCATTCCTACTTTTATCATTGAAAATTCTTCCCTTCCTTTCTTCCCAAATAGTTCAAACCACAGCTGCCCTCACTGTTTTTCACATTAATCTTCCTCTTTTCTTTGACTGTCTCAAGAAACTAGGATCAAAGAGGCCCACCACATCCTGAGAAGGGGTCCACCTGTACCCAAAAAGAGAACAAAGATACTCCCAAATACAACGCACAAAAGAATAGGATATAAAAATAAGCGAAATAGATCCATTATTGTCCTTGCAAAGAAAACACATGTGAGGGGAGAGACTTTTATTTGGCCTTCTTTTCTGCAGCACATCATAGGTGTTAATATTTCCAAGAAAGACCTCCCAACAAAGGGCCTGAACTTTAGGAGGGATAGGCTTGCTCCAAATATCTTTCACCAGAAAATTAACCCCTCAAGGTATTGGGCTGTGTTAAAAAGTTGAAAAATTAAGCACAAGTGAAAGAACCAACCAGGGAAATTGACCACACCCTAGTGCCCTCCAAAGTTTGGTCCAAAAAAACTGACTCAAGTCAAGCCAATAGAAGGATAAGAGATTCACATTCCAAATCCCTAAGACCTCTTCTAAATCCAAAGTCCCATCTTAAGCCCGAGTCAAAGATAGCCACAAACTTTGAGATAGGTTCAGATTTGTAAGTGGAAAGTGCAGAGAGCAAGGGAAATTGGAATTTTAGAGGAACATCGCCCAACCAAAGGTCCTCCAAAACAAGACTTTCATTCCAATACCCACATCGTAATGAATAAGATTAAGGAACAAAGGACATACCTTATATATTGCTTTCCAAGGAGAGACTAAAGTTGCATTGGGGGCTACCTTTGCATCCCAACCAAAGTCCAGCTGTCCATGTATGCTTTTAATGACCTTGTGCCAGAGCCTTTCTCTTTCTAGGGTAATCTCCACAGCCACTTCCCTAAAAGAGTTAAATTCTTTTGAATCAAGCTCCCTATCCCTAGTCCCTCCTTCTCTTTAGACCTACTGACATGTTCCATTTCACCAAGTGGTCTCTCTTATCATCCCCTAGTTCCTATAAGAATCCCTCATAATATTTTCTAGTTGCCCAACAATTTTAACAGGGATGTGGAAAGCAAAGAGAAAATAAACTAGAAGATTTGCCAGAGTGGCCCTATCAAAGTTATTCTTCCTCCCGTTGAGACATAATTCCTTTTCCAAGATGCCAGCTTCTTAGCAAATCTCTCCAACACTGGTTTCTAGAACCTCTCAAATCTCGGATTACCACCCAAAGGGAATCAAAAATACTCTAGGGGCCAATTTTTTACTTCACAGCCTATTACCTCAGCTAATTCATAGATAACCTCCTCTTGCACTAGAAAGGTTCTCTAAGGAGCTAATTGGTGCTTTTAAGTATCTAAGAGAGACGAGGTTGTCATCATCACAAAACATAAGTATGTCATTTGCAAACTGCAGGTGTGTAACCACAACCTCCTCCCTTCCCACTCTCCAACCTCTTATTGAATTATCCAAATCATCCTGCTAAGGACCTCAGTAATCAAGGTGCATAGGAAGGGGAAAGAGGGCCACCCTGTCTCAAACCTCTCTTCGCAGGGAAAAAAATCTCTAACAATCCCATTAGTCAAAATTGAATATTGCACTGAACTCAAACACCCCTTGACCCCACAACCTCCATTTTTCAAGGTCCAGATTACAATTGAGTCCCTTTCCTCCTCTATTCTTCTTTGCCACATACTTATTTGCCACTAAAATTTGGTCAACAATTTGTCTTCCCTCTACAAAGGCCCCTTGAAAAGGTGAGATCATTATAAGTAAAACCCTCTTCAGTATGCCTGAAAGAACTTTTGCTATTATTTTGTAGAGGCTACCCACTAAACTTATCGGCCAGAAATTCTTTGGAGTTGTAGCTTCCTTATTCTTGGGCACTAACGCAAGGCAATGAAGGTAGCATTTGTTCCTAGAGAAATTTCCCTAGTTTAGTGAAAATCATCAAACACTTCTTTCAAAACATTCTTCAAAGTCTCCCAACAGTCTTGATCTATCCATAGAGAAGGCAGCCTCTCTAATCTCCACAATGCTGAAAAAAGCTTGTGAAGGCTTTGGATTGGATATAAATCACCCGAGTCCAATCCAACTCAAGGAGACTTTGTCTTCTCCCTGCAGAACAAGACAATCTTGTTTGCCATTCCCTTCTTGAAGCCATTTGCATCTAGATTTCGGTCTCCAAGAGATTTCTTCCTTTTGCAAGAGATCTTCTAACTCCACTTTCAACTCCCACCTCTCTTCTCTTTCCTCCTTGTTCAACTCTATCAAAGCTCTTTTTTTTTGTCTAGAGCCTCAATTCTAGGAATGGCAACGGGGTGAGTTCGGGTATGAATCATATTCCTCATCCCCAACCCTGATTTAAAACAAATGCACATCCTCAATCTCTATCCCCGTCGAGGATAAAAGTTACTCTCCATCCCCGATCCCCAAAGGAAACGGGTCCCTAGTATAGGGCGGGGACTTCACTCCCCATCCCCATCCTCGTCCCCTACTGAGGAACCCTATTAATCCCCATCCCCACCCCCACCCTTGCCAAGGCAATCTCCATCCCTGACCAATGGGATCGAGGAGACCGAGTACTCAACGGGGATGGGGAAAATTGCCATCCCTCCTCAATTCTAGAGGAAATTCCTTCTTGTGCTTCTTCAAGTCTTCCAAAGTGGTCCTTGCTTCAAGCCTTAATCTTCTCTTTCAGAGCTTTTAGCTTTCTCATGAATCTAGCACCCTTCTTTTTGCTCCTTGGTCTCTCCTCATCCCACCAAGCTTTAATCCTCTCCTTGTTAGAAGGGTCCTCCAACCACATATTCCCAAAGTGACAAGGTGAAAGCCCACCAAATAATAAATATTGACCTAATCAAATGGGACAGTGATCTGAAGTTACCCTAGGCAAAGCCCTTGTCGTTAAGTTCTCCCACAAAACCTCCCAATCAACCATGAACAAAAATCTATCAAGTTTGGAGCAGATTGGGTTAGCTTGAAAGTTTGACCACGTGAACTTTGCTTGTAGCAGGGGTGATTCCTTCGATTCAAAGGACTCTATCAAATTGTTAAATTTCCTCATACTAAGAGTGAGGCCCTGATCTAGGTTGTTTGCTTCCTTTGAAAATTTAAGGACATTGAAATCCCCTCCAAGACACCAAGCCCCCCTAGCCCTCTAACTTCACTTAATTCCTAGAATTGGTCCCTTTCTCTACAAGATTTAGGACCATAAACGCTGGTCATCACCCACTCCTTCCCATCACTAGCTCCTTTGAATTTAGTTGAGATTGAGTAGTTCCCTAAGAGTTCTTCCAGGCATTCCAAATCCTCATTTTTCCAGATAGTGATAATTCCCCCTGAAGCTCCCCAAGTGCAAAAGCCCAACTTAAGCCTCTAATTCCCTAGATACTCCTAATCCGCCTTCTATCTAATTCTAATAATTTGGTTTCCTGAATTAAGAAAACACCTAGCTTCTCTTTCCTCAATACAATCCTTTTCCTTTTTTGCACTTCTTAATCCCCTTACATTCCAACTAATTATCTTCATGCTAAAACGATGACAAAGGCCCCAAAGGAATCTTGCTTCTTTAGCCCGATCTCTTTTTTCCTTTCCTCTTGTTATCCACTTTCTTATAGGAGACCTCAGTAGCCAACTTCTCTACTTCACCTTTTTTCTTTCTTTTCTTTTTGTATTCTTTCCATTTTCCCTTTCTTGCATAGACTTTGACACTTGCTTCATCTTCCCATTGACCCTTCCCCTTTCCTTTCTCTTGTTTAGAGGGGGCTCCCCACTTGGGCTGACTAGGTCATTTTCTTCACCACTAAACCTTTCCTCTTCTTCTAACAAAGCAGTCAGGTTGTTGAACACTAGGCCTAGTATTCTACCCTTGTCTGCATCCTCACCCTCCCCAACCTCACAGACCTTGCATTCAACTCAATGGCACTAGGGCAAATAGCACCATGGGCGCCCAAACATCAGCTGGATCTACAGGCACAAAGAGAGGACTACATGAGGACAAAGGGAAAAAATGCAAGCAGAAGGGGTGCAAGCACAATAAGAGAAACAAAAACTAAGTGGTAAAGGGGGTTAGCCCTATTATGTTCTTTCGCAAGCTTCCCTAGGTTCAAAACCTTCTCGGTCATCTTTCTTATCAAGAGACACCTCGACGGCATCCTTCTTCTATCCCTCATGTAAGTCTCCGCTTAAGTCAACAGAGTCTACAAAGATCTATGACTGTTTAACCTAGCTTTGGCATTGCAAAGGTTGCACTAACATGTTTCCTAGAAGTGGAGTGGGTGAATCTTCACCAAGACCGGTGAGCTCTTTTCTTTCCAAGTCCAAGACCTTGACAATTTTGTCCTATGAAGGATCTTCACAAAGTAACTATGTTCCTAAGCAATCCCCTTCAAATTTCTTATAGGCTTTTGTTGAGTTAGGGCTTCCAATGCTTGACAATTGATCAACCTCTTCTTCTCTAATTTCAAGACCCTGCAAGTTTTCCCCGGCACTAGATTCCTCCAAATCTTCTTTACAATTTCCACAATACCTCGAATTGGGCCTATCAGGTGTTTTGGAATTTTCCAAAGGGAGTGGTCTCCAAACAAGATTAACCTCCCTCTCCTTTCTCCTCAGTTTCCAGTTAGTGTCATCTACAAGGGGAGCTGACAATCCTATTTCCTTCGTTGGACTAGTGAGGGGGGGACCCAACTTTGGGGGGACGATGATAGACCCATAGTTGTCAAGGCAACGCCTAAGCGACAAGGCGCCCTTGGAGGCTCGCCTTGCCTAGTCGCCAAGTAGTTTTGTGCACTATGTTATAAAATACTTTTATATTTTTAATTTTTTGACATTATAATTATAAAATAGGCATTATTAAACTAGAATACTCATTTTATGTATTTATGTACTAATTTCCTTTTAGTATTTTCTTATATGTTAGGGTTTAATCAACAAAAACATTGCTAACCGTTGTATTGAACCCATGGTTCAAAGTATCGATACACCTCTGTGTATCGGCAGAGGTGTATCAGTACTTATAATGATACTCCCTCTATTTTTTTATTTCTTTGATTTTCAATTTCATTTTTAAATATATATATATATATATATATATATATATATTATTTTAAAAAAAGGGTTCCCGAGAACACTTGTAAACATGTGTATTGGGGTGCAAAAGATACAACACAATACACCCAATACGGGACGTATCGTATCGAAGTTTTGATCCTTGATTGAATCCTCAAAGATTTCAAAACCTAAACCAATAAGCAAGGGAAGAACTTAAAATTTTGTCTAATCAACACATTTTCTTCTTACAGATCTTCTTCTTCCACCTTTTCTTTTCTTCTTTTCCTATAACAAAAGTAGGGGTTCAGCCCCTATATTTTTTGAAATTTCTTTCCTTTGTTCCTTTTCTTCTCATAAAATGTTGATTTTCTAAACTTAAAACATGAAATTTATACTTCTCTTGTGAAAATTATGGATAATTATTAAGGAAAGATGGTTATGGAACCTAGGGAACTACCCTAGGATATAGGGGTTTTACTTAAAAAAAAATCCATCGCCTAGACGACTAGGTGACAATGCGCCCTCTTGTCACCTAGCCTCACCTTGGCACCTTAAAAACTATGGATAGACCCTTGTTGTCACCCCTCGACTCTCTTAAGCACATTACATGATCACTTGAGTGACCACATGTTTTGGGTAGCCCCAATTCAAACATATTATGTTGAGCCACCAAATGAGTTATGGCTTTGGGTGGGCCCGATTCTCCAGAATATATAATCCCCAATTCAAAGTTCACTATACCTCTTCCCGCCTCTTGGAGTTCCTTACGATGGATGCAACATGGTTCTAACAAGACCTCAGGGAAGGTTTTAAATTGGACCCTATGATGAGAATCTAATGGTCCTCCTTGGCATAAGTAGTAAATCGGCACACTTCTTTTCTTAAGCCCATTTGTTGAGCTTCCTCATCATTTGACTGTTTACTATCTCTAGCCAGTAAGTAATATCCACCTAAGCTTCCTTGTGCCATCTCATCATCTTCTTCCTCCATTCCCTTCCAAAGCTCAACCTCCAACACCAACAGGGTCCATGTTTTGTAGACTATTCCATCTACCATCACTTCTATCGTGCAAGGAACATTTTGCATCCTTACCCCCACCAACCTAAATGAAGTTGCTCGAAAGTTAGAGGTATTGAGATCTACAAGCACACCTCTACATAATTGAGTGGTCTTCTGGAAAATTGATTCAGACTAGAGGTGAAAAGGTAAACCAACCATCTTCACCTCAAGATTTTCACCTAGATCAATTGAGTTGGACCTCGAGCTCCATCTTCATACATACACAAACCCTTCCCTGGTCTAAACAACTTGAAGTGCAAAGACGTCTCTCAAGGGAATCTTGAGATCTAAAATTGCCAAACAATCTTGGAATGGTTTTGAAGTTAAATCTCCTTCAATCTTCAACTTCCTTCTTAAAGCTTCAGCAACCTCCTTCTAGTTGCAAACCTTTTGCTTAGTGGTTACAGAAAAATCTTTTACTCCAAAGATCTTTTGTAGCCGTTGTCTTGAGCTTGGAAGCTTTAATGCAACAGGACATTTGAACTTCTTTTTGTCGTCACTCTTCATAACATTCGTGTCCAAACACCAAGGCTCTAATTCTTTGTTGTGTTCTTGTACTAGCCATAACCTAAGCACCTTTTCTTCCTATCTAGTAGTCCTGACTCGTCTCCAATATCAGATTCCATCCCTTTCTCTATTTTCCCATAGGAAAGTAAAGCAGTTGTTTCCTATTTTTCCCAAAACGCTCTGTTAATGCAATATACCAGCCCTTCCTATTCTTTCTTGTTTTTTTTTTATCGATACTATTCTTTCTTGTTTCTACTACGTAGAACTTTAAAAATTTTGATATATTTCCCCCATCCTTGCAGTTTGGTTGATTTACAGGCTCCCACCAAGAAGCACTTAAACCAAAGCATGACTTCGCTAGAAAAATCATGATCATCTTTCCTTTTCGTATTTTCAGAATCTCCTAACCCTTAGCACTTGTCACTTTGAAAATGAAGTTCTTTGCCTCCACCTGTAGCCCCTTACTCCATCTTCTTGCATGCTGGAATCCTTCATCTTCACTATGTTCTGACCAATGTTTTGAAAATCATAATTGTATCATAAATCATAAAGAGGTTTGAATCGAATTGTATGGTAAATCGTAAGATTTTTCGGATTTTCTAAAAATTGTCAAAAACTATAAAAATACCTAAACACCTCAAAAATTAGGAAAAAGAATGACTTTGTACTAACTTTTAGCCTATAGACATAAGATAAATAGGTAATAGTACTGTAGTAGTAGTCTGGTAGTGAATTTGACAATTACACCACTTTCATAAATCATAATTCAATAGAAGACATGGGTATAATCAAGTTCAACTTCAATTTAAGCAATAAAAAAAACTATATCCTTAATTGTATTGCTATTTGATATCATCATATAATTATATAAATATGAGATTTACATGGCATCATGTTCATGTCTTACTCTTCATCCCCAAGGCTCAGCAAAAAATAACTAAAAGGTTATCTAATATTCTAATTCCTAATATTTCGTCTTTAAAGTTTCAATGATTTAAGCCAAATCATCAATACAAGAACAAGATGATTCAAAAAATTTAAGCCACATCCAAGAACATGATAATTCAAAAAATTCACACATTAAATCATCAATACAAGAATACAATAGTGAAACAATGCAATTAAAGAAATTAATTTCTGAAGTTTAATAATTTTTTTGGTAATTAATACCATTGCATAATTGGACATAACTCGTAAGCACATTCCATTGACATAAATAACTAAATAACCAAAGAGATGCTGTGTGGACAAGTATAATAAATTAAAAATCTAGCCAAATTATAAGCCTAACCATCTCCACTAAACCAGCATAAATAAAGATTTAAAGACTAAAGCTAACAAAGAAATCCTCACTGATCATCAAGGAATATAGAGTTCTTGAGTGTTCAGATGCAAAGATGCCCTGTGGGGATGAGCCCCAGTTTTGAGATTAGAGAAAGAATGAGGGGAATATATCAGGGCTAAAGCCCTATTTTCATGCAGGAAAACAAGTAAAAAGCTTGAGGAGAAGCCATTGTTTTGCGCATGGAAAAAGGGTGAACTGTAGAAGAGTGGAACCCCTGTTTTATGCAAAAAAAAAGATAAAAATTATGAACATCTCAACATGCTAGCCTCCAATAAATAATTCTCTCTCCACACCTGACCAAACATGCATACCTACTTGCGACTACATCGAATATAAGTTCCCCGTTTTGTATTTTAATTGTCATGACAAAGCTAAGAAAGAAAGAGAAACTTGAACCCTTTTTTTAAGCACTCAACAGTAGAAAAATATGTCCAAGTGCATGCCAACAGAAACTCCAGTTTATTAAGATTCTTTCAAAAAGACTACAATACATTAAGGTATAACCGTATAAACTTACAGTATAATTCTTAACAAGGATGGTAGTCTCCAGTCCCAATTGGTATTCCCGTTTGTAATCATAACTGCAAAAATATATATATATGCCATCACTGGGTAGCAATGAAATAGCTTCACCAGAACGACCTTAGACAGAAATAAGTGATTCACCTGATATAGCAGAGCTTCTCTTTGATGTCCCTAACAGTCTCAAAATCTGCAGTCCTATTCATTGAATACCTTTAAGAAAAAGAATAGAGTTTGAGTGAAAAAAAGAGATACAAATCTTGGCAATAAATCCGATTAAAATATGAGGAAGTAGAGAAGAGAAGGAAAGAAGAGAGAAAAGAAGAAGAAAGAAAGGGAGAAGAAAAGGTTTGGAGCAATGGAACAGTGCTGGCGGCGCCAGCTTCTATTATATTATATAGGGCGGCAGAAAAAAGAAGGGAAAAGACTCTTGTGCCCCTGCTGTAAGTGAGTACAATAACAGAAATAACAGAAAATAAAAAACGCTTTAACTAGCCAAACAGACCCCAACACAAATAACTAAATTATTTCAACACTCCCCCTCAAGTTGGAGCATAGATGTCAATCATGCCCAA